GGGACACATGAGACCATCTCGAAGTGCCGAAGACAAATCTTAAAGAACAGTTCATGATTCTCTTCAGTCTGTCCTCAAACTCCAACGAGAGGCCACCATATACCACACAGCCATAGTCAAAGCAGGGGAAAATCAATGAGGAAACGAGGAGCTTGCGGATAGGTTGTGGGAGATGCTGACGAGAACGATGAAATAGTTTAAGTGTACCAATTGACCTTCTGGAGATATGAGCAATATGGGGTTTCCATGATAGGTTTTGATCAATGGTAATTCCTAAGTTTTTTACAGAGGAGGAGAAGGAGATTGGTTAGATTAGTTCAAATAGTTCAAATTAAGGGGCAGCACCGGGAACCATTGGTGGATAGTGGTTCTGAAATTTCAATAATAAAAGAACTGATACAGGGTTATACCTTACAACTCAAATAATTGCAAGAGTTAGAGTGTTGAATAGATTAAGGGTGTTGTCTCACTGGTTTGTAGTTGCCGATGTTGTATCAAGAGGGGATGAACTAATGGGATGGGACTTTATGAGAAAATTGGGACTTATTATTGATGCTGCTAAGGGGATTATAGTGCAAACTAATAGAAATCAACAGTGGGGTGTTGAATTAATTACAAAGGAAATCTAACAAGAGACAATTCGGGTTCACGCCGTAAATAAAGTTGTGATTCCACAATTTAGTGAGATTGTCGTTAAGGGTCAATTGAAGGAACAATGCAATGGCGATATATTACTGGAGCCAGTCGTACAGTCACAATATGGTATCAGAGCTGCGCACAGTATTAACAACGTTGATAGTAAAAGAGCCTGCATAAAATTAATCAATTTGTCTGAGGAGGAAGTGGTGATACCAAAGGGGCAATGTTTAGGTCTGGCTAAAGAGTTCGCTCCGACGGCGGTTTTAGAACCGAATATTCAACAAAAATTCAGTGGATTTGGTGCAGACTTTAGGTGTGAACCCGGAAGGGACAAAAGATCTCATCAAAGAATGTCAAAATCTACTTGTGCATTTTACCTCAACTGAAGGAGAAAATATTTTAGAGGTCTTGAAAAAATATTTACAAGTGTTCGAATCTCCTGCAAAGGAAGGCTGTGGATTAGGGGTACATCACCGAATCCAAACGACGTAAAAAGGACCAGTCATAAAACGACCCTGACAGGTCCTCCCTTATCACCAGCGACTTGCAATGGCAGACCACATTCAAAATATGTCAGAGAAAGATATCATACGACCTTCTGAAAGCCCATGGTCAGCGTCAGTAGTACTAGTAAAAAAGAAAGGAGATGGATTATAGGTTCTGTACCGATGTTCGTAGTCTGAACAAAATTACAAAAACAAATGCGTACTCCCTTCCATTGATTGTTGAGAAGCTAGAGCGCATGGGACGAAGCCGATTCTTCACTACATTTGGATTTAGCAAGTGGCTATCATCAGATTCCAATTTGGCCAGCAGATCAAGAAAAGACTGCATTTACCACCAAAGTGGGCCATTTTGAATATAAAAATATGACTTTTGGTCTAGTTAATGCACCAGCAACTTTCCAACGATTAATGGACCAGCTACTAGCAGAAATTAAAGGAGAAGAATGATTAGTATATCTTGATGATATTATTGCATACAGCGCTACCATGGAGGAGCACTGTCAGCGATTAGCTAAGGTGTTAGAGTGACTAGACGAAGCTAATTTACGAGTGAATATGGATAAATGTCACTTTGCTCAGGGAGAAGTACATTACTTGGGGCATATTAGTTTCCAGCAAAGGTGTTAGACCCGATCTGAAGAAGGTAGGCGCAGTGGTAGGTTATCCAGTCTCGAATAATGTCAAGGATGTCAAAGCATTTTTAGCACTTGCTGGATATTATAGATGCTTTGTTCCAGGATTTTCTAATATGGTGAAACCCTTAACAACAATTTTAAGAAAAGATGAGAAATTCCACTGGGGAGACACTCAAGAAACTTCTTCTTCATATCTTTTGAAGCGATCAAAACAGCTTTGTGTTGATACTCAGTCTTAATTTATCTGGATTTTAATGATCCATTTATATTATCGACAGACATTTCAGATGTAGCCTTAGGGGCTGTCCTTTCTCAGATGAGAGAGAGACATGAAAAACCAGTGGCATATGGTAGCTTTTAACTTAATAATGCCAAGCGAAACTACTCCGCCACTGAAAGGGAGTTACTGGTAGTTGTATGGGCTACTGCTTAATTTAGATGTTATTTATTAGGGCGGAAGTTCACATTAGTAACTGACCATGCTGCTCTCAAATGGATGCTACATTTGAAAGATCCTTCTGCTTGATTAGCACGATGGAGCCTCCGGTTGAATGAGTATAACTATGACGTGGTTCATAGGCCTGGAGTACGTCATCATAACACTGATGGTCTCAGCAGAGGAGTTGCAGCAATAAATCATAAGTTTCTCGATCAAGTATCTTTACTGAGATAACAAGAAGAGGGTTGCTGGTGTTACGATATTACGTATAGGCGGCAAAGGTTTATGGTATTGGATGGACTATCAGTCTGATCCAGAGACATGGAAGTTAATGGTCCCCATATGTTTGCGGACTTTTATCATTAAAGAAAATCATGATCCCTTGTGGGCATGTCATCCAGATCAAACTCGCACGGCAGCGCGAATTCTTGAGAGGATTCACTGGCCAGGCTTGTGGGACGATGTTGCAATGTACGTCTGCAATTGCCGTTCTTGTAATATGAGAAAAAGCTCAAGAGGGTTAGCTGTTCCACTGGGCCCTCCAATAGGCCTCCGTTAGAAGGTACTATCCCTACGAATTGGTATCAATAGATATAGCTGGCCCATTTGCTCTAAGCACAAAGGGAAACCAGGATCTTCTAACATTTGTAGATAATTTTACTAGATACGCAGAAGCAATACCCTTAAAACAACAAATGGCAAATGAAGTGATGGAAGCATTCGTTAAATATATCGTTTTGAGAAATGGGGCCCCAAAGAAAGTTTTAACAGATAGGGGTAAGAATTTCACATCAGATTTATTTAAAGAAACATGTAGACTACTAAGAACAGAGAAAGTTCAGACTACGGCCAACCATCCAGCAGGAAACAAATTAGTTGAATGACTCCATCGGACGTTATGGGATTCTCTAGCACACTTAGTGAATAAGGACCCTGCCGATTGGGACCGATGGGACCCCTTTGCTCTTGCGACTTACAGGGAGACACTTCATACCTTAACAGGGTACTCTCCGCACCATCTAATATATGGTCATAAATTTGAACTTCCATTTTCATGTGATTTTTCTCCATGTGAGGAATACGTTTCGGCATTAAAAAATAGACTAACTGACATTCATAAAAAGCGAACGAATCGGCGAGGGATCCTTGGAAAATTCGTACTAGAAACCATGAATTCGGAAAGACAATGCGTGAGTATCACGAAGAAGAACTGGTTTATTTATTTGAACCAGTTTTACATCCAGACCAGTCTAGGAAATTTAGACATCTCTGGGTCAGGACCGCACAAGGTTATTAAATAACCTAAAATCAAAGTGATCACGTCTTCATAATGAAAAATTATAAAGATTAAATCTTATCTTGAAGTCAAATATGGGATGGACGAACATGAATTGATAATCCCCAAATTACCAAAAGAAATATGTAAAGAAGTATAGAGAAAACAAATAATCTTCTAAAAAGTTTAATAATAAGAAATACTAAAATTGGGGAGATTATTTTATTTGAAAATAAGAACAGAGATTATTATAAAATAAGATTTTTAAATAGACTAGAAAATAAAGGTTGTGTAGAAGGTTATTAACATTATAAAGTGTTAAGTGTTTTGAATGAAGAGGGGACTGACAATGGAGATAACACTAACCTTGCAGTGCACCTGATAGTCATTTTATTAAATAAATATGAATTACTTCTCAATATTTAAAGTATAAAATATAAGAATAATGTGCCTCCTTAAACAGAACAGAGAATGCTTACTAAACCTTTTTCAGAAAAACTTAAAAAATTAAATTAATTAGAAATGATAATAATAACCTCTTGGTAGGTCCGAAGCCTTTGCTGTTCAATTTCAATTTGGTACTGGAGTTTATTATGAATAATAATAAATAATGAATAAATCATAGTAATTAATGACACATATATTTTGAGTAATGTGGTGATTTTGAGAAGAATCTATTAGAGCAATTCAGAGGGCATAACACAAGCTCAATCATTTAACTAAATTTTTTTTCTAAAGTAAAGTTTTGAGTGAATTTCAAAGTTTGATACACTTATTGTCACTTAGTAGTCTATAAAAAGTTTTAAAAGTACTTCTTGGCTAATTAAAACTAACATCAGATAATAAATGCATCAAACAATATTATTCACTCGAAACTTTAATTTAGAAAAAAAATGTAGTTGGAATTAGGGTTGAGTTACAGAAAAATTATTTAATTTGGAGTTAAAGAAACCACTGAAATTTTTTTAACTATACAAGATTTTAAATTTAACAAGTTTATCTATAAAGGATTCATTGTGATCATTAAGTCCATTTATGTCCCTTTTATTAGTTTTAGGGATAAAAATGTGTTCCACATGTATTCCCAATAACAAAACACTAACACAATTTAGAAAACAAAACCAGTATTTATTCCTGCTTTCAGAAATCACAAAGAATTTTAAGTAAACGTGTATAAGTAAAAATAAATAAATAAACGCATGTACAATTAAATCATAGAATTGGTCAACAAATATGAACTGAAGAGAATGACTGTTATGTCAGTATTGTATGTAACTTATTATTTATATTTCAATATAAACATTTAGGAATATAAATTCTTAATAATATAATTAAAACTGAAAAATACTATAAGTTCCACACTTTTATACTATGAATTAAGGATAGATCTAAACATGAGAATACTTAATATTAAAACAAATACATTAATATTTTTATTTTATGATTATCACAATATAATTAAGCTAAAACAAAACTATAAATGAAACAAATTTATTAAGTTTTACCTATGAAGTGGAGGTACTGAATCAACTGTCCGCAATTCTCCACGTGTGGAAACTACATTATAACTTTCTTGACAATCACATTTTACGTGAATCCATTTGTTTTCATGCCTATTTTCAACCATAACCACAAGTCCAGCCCAACCTTTAGTCAAATAATAAGCTGTCATTCCTTCACGGCCCTAAAATTAACAATCATATTTATAACATAATCATAGTAATGTATTTTGTATATTTTTTAAGAAATATAACAAGTGTAATGAGCTTAAAAAATACATCCATACAAACAGTTATGTATTATATCATATATTCAACTAAAAAGCAAAATAAAAACGAAGTAATTTGACTTCTTTCATCAAGCATTTATTTCCAAGATAATTTTTTTTTAAAATGTCACACTATATATTAACACGTGAGTACAAAATTATATAATTCTGCCGGCTGCCTGTCAGAGGTTCTAGTAAGATGGTCCCAAGCGCATACAAAGGAACTCTTTGAGTAGTCAGTCATCAGCACCTGCATTGTTGAATTTTAAGGTTGTTAATGGCATCCAAAATCTCATCCTCAGAAGGTGGCTCGACATATGTTCCTACAACTTCCTCATTTTCTCTCCTTAAGTCCACATTTAGTTCCTAACATCACATGCTGAAGAGATTGTCGAAGATTTGTCTCCATTGGGACCAGAACTCTCTCTTTGTCAGGTAGAAAGTAGGTATTCCTCATGGACGTTGCAACGTTGAGATAAGAAAGGTTTTAGAGTAGGACATCTGGATCCTGTTAACATTATCATCATCATCATAATCGAATCCCTCTCTATCACAGTGAGTAGAACATTCTTCCAGCTGTTCAGATATTTATACTAAAATGTAGGTCTTGGTCATCCTTAGCGAATATGATAAGGTCATCAGCAAAAGCTAGAATTTTGTAGAAAGTGGGGATGCCCAAGTTTAAATCACCACATTCTGAGTTTAGCTCTCCTCAGCACCAGATTTAGAACCAATGTTTACATTGGTATTAATTATATGTGTGTGTAGTAGTTAAATTGTGAATAAAAATCTTCCTTGGTTATTTTTAATTTATTGATTATCAACATTTCACCATTCTTTAAACTAGTAAACCTCCTAACTCTAGCAGCCGCCGAGTAAAGACACTATAACCTCTGCTTTAATTGTTTTGTTTTATTTTAATTTACTTCAGTTTTCAGACAGTATTATTTATAACAGGGATTTAGTTTTAATAGTGATAAACTCAGAACATTCATATTATTTTTGGTGACAATTTTTCAAGTAAGAATGCCCTTCTGGGGAGCAAAGTGAACATGGAAGACGAAGAAGAAACTTCTAGTACTTCCAAAAAAGATGGACAATCTAATTCAGCTCCGAAAAGAAGAAGAGGTGAGTCAACCTTATATAATATTCCTATACAAAATAGTTACTCGGTTTTCTCCGATAAGGAAGAAGATGAAGAGATCTCTGCCAAAACTAGTAAAAATCCTGAATTACAAGAATTTCCTCCAATAGTAGTAAATTCCTCATTCTCAAATCATAAGGAAATAATTACAAAACTTGAAAATTCAGTAAAAGATATAAATATCAAATACGGTGGAAATAAAACTATTTTTTATGTGTATAATAATGAAGACTTCATAAATATTAAAAATTAACTTAAATTACTTAATCATAATTTCCATACCTATACTCTTAAACATGAGATTAAGCCCAAAGTGGTATTAAAAGGCATGCCCCCAGACTATCCTATCGAAGACATTCAGGCCGATCTAAATAAACAAGGCTTAGAGATTTACAAAATGTTTCAAATGACCAAAAATTAGATGGTGTTAAAAAAAATTGCCATTATCAATCATTATATTAAATAATAAAGAACAATTGGTAAAACTTAATGGCATAAAATACTGTGACAATGTTGTTATATCATGGGAAAAATATGTGAGCAAAAAAGTGTTGACACAATGTTATTTATGTCAAGAATATAATCACGTAGCTCGAAACTGCTTCAAAAAAACCCTGTTGCCTCAAGTGCTCCGAGGAACACTTATCAAGAGACTACCCAAATATCATACGCGAAGACTTCGTCCCGAAGTGCAGCAACTGCAATGAAAGTCACTTCTCAAATTACGAAAAATGCCCACACTTCATACGAAACCAGCAATTGAAGCTCAGTAAGCAACGACCAACCATCCACCCTTCACAATGAAAAATATTCAAACCAAGACAAAATGATTTTCCTTCCTTACCAAAAACAGACTCAAAATGGTTTAAAAAAACATTCTCAGACAATATTAATGGAAATGACCCTTCTTACTATGAACCATCTACCATTAACCTCATATAGTATCAGTAAGCGAAACTTGTTTATCTCCACAGGACAGATTCTCGGCCCGTGGCTACACTGTTCACCGAAAGGACTGGAACAGAGCAGGTGGGGGGGGGGGTTATGATACTGGTGCGTTCAGATCTACCGCACGTTTACAGGCCAATTGATAATTTAAAATACGCGGAAGCGACTGCAATTCAATTTAAGGTAAAAAACAAAATTATTAACACAGTTGCAGTTTACATCCCACCAAATAAAATAAATATACACGATCTTAGAGTTATGTTTAATAAACACACACTCGTCTTAGGGGACTTGAATGCCAAAAATTCACAATGGAACTGCCATAACACGAATAAAAATGGAAAATTATTATTAAATTTTATATCATGGTAAAATATAGTACTGCATGCTCCAAACAAGCCAACTTACATACCAACTCAGAAAAAATTCAAACCTAGCATTATTGACTTGGCCTTCACCAAAAATATTTCTGACGTTTCTCGCCTCATCTCGGTACCATGTCTCAGTTCGGATCATAACCCGGTGATCTTTCGATTGGAAAATAAATCCATAAAAATCAGCACGATCCCTAAATTCAAGTTCAAATTGGCTAATTGGGAATAATTTCGGAAAATCAGAGATAAAAATCTAGATATTAATCCAGTTATAATAAATAACTCCGATATAGATTCGAACATCGACAAATTTATGGATACTGTCAAAACTGGCATGATAAAATCCATTCCACAGGTATCCTGTCAATATAAACCCGACAATATTCCTTCTCAACTACAATTTTTTATTTTTATAAAAAATAAATTCCAGAAAAAATACCAGCTCACCAGGAATATAAAGTATAAATGCCTCTTTAACAAAATAAATGCCTATGTAAAAATTCGTTTAAACAGTTGGAGGAACTTAAAGTGGCAGGAAACTCTTAAGGAACTATTCCCTGGTTGTAAACAATTTTGGAAAATACATAAAATTCTGACAAATCGTCCCCACCATATCCCGCCAATCAAACTATCAAACAGTTTCGCCTATTCTAATATAGAGAAGGCAGAAGCAATGGCAAACTATTTCACATCAGCATCAAATATTCCGGCTGATTTAGGTACCAACAAACAAAATCGAACTATCAGAAAATCAGTAAAAAGATTTTTCAAAGAACCAGTTCCAAATACATTCCCTTCAATCTCTTTCAAAGAGGTAAAACAGGTTATAAAGCAGTTAAAAACTAAAAAATCGCCCAGCCTAGACTCTATACCCTCAATTGCCATTAATAAATTAAGCAAAAAGGCTATTTTATTTCTTACAAAGACATATAACTGTATGCTTCGCTTTAGATATTTTCCAACAGCTTGGAAAACAGCAAAAATTATAACGATTCCGAAACCAAACAAAGACCCAGCAGATGTTTGTAGTTACAGACCAGTAAATCTACTAAATATAATTTCAAAACTTTTTGAAAAACTTCTTTTAAAAAGAATACTGAGCCATATATTTCAAAATAGTCTGATACGTAACGAGCAATTCAGGTTCAGAAAACAGCACTCAACAGTAGCCCAACTAGACAGACTGACCGACTGTATTATCAAAGCGTTCAATGAAAAGAAGCACGTCGGTATGCTCCTCCTAGACATAGAAAAAGCTTTTGACACAGTTTGGCATGAGGGCATTATCCATAAACTCATTTTATATAAATTTCCACCTTACATAATCTACCTCCTTCACTCATATCTCAACAATAGATCCTTTTGCGTTACAATAAAGAATGTCCATTCCTCAATCCATTTCCTATCTGCAGGTCTCCCTCAAGGCTCCTGTATTTCTCCTACACTATTCAGCCTATACATCTCAGACCTCCCTTCCACTCCTTCACTAGAATATTCCTTATATGCAGATGATACAGCTATTTATACTTCTTCTTTCAGAATCGACACAATAACCAACAGACTACAATCCCAATTCATAAAACTCAGCAAGTATTTTGATAAATGGAAAATAAAAATAAATGATAATAAAACTGAAGCGATTATTTTTACAAAAAGAAGACCACGCATAAACCATAATACACTCATAAAAAAAGTACAGATCCCTTGGTCAAACTCTGTGAAATATTTAGGCCTACAACTTGATAGGTCCCTAAATTTCACTCAACATATCAATAACAAGTACAATAAAGCTAAAACATGATCAGCAAAATGTCACCATATTTTAATAGATATTCACAATTGAATACAAAAAATAAACTGATTTTATATAAAACAGTAATCCGCTCTTTAATCACCTATTCTGCCCCAGTATGGCGTTACACATGCGAGACTAAAAAACTCGAAGTGATTCAAAACACGTGTATGAGAATAATAAACAATTATCCATGTTATACCAAAATATCTACTATGCTATCAGAGTTACAGCTTCCCACTATAAAACAACATATTTATTTTAAAACTCAGAGATTTTTTGAGCTAACACCAATGTCTGAAAACCCTATAATCCGAACAATAGGAAACTATGCCAAGACATCTTTGAAACGGTACACACACAGAAGGACTGAACACATACTACTAAACGTCTAAATCAATCTGTTTATTTACGAAAATTTAATGGATTTTTCTCTGTTAACAAACAAATAACAATAAACTCTTATTAAATTATATTTATTGGACGTGTGTGTATATTTATATTTATAGGATGTGTATGTATATGTATATATATATATATATATGTGTGGGTGTGTATATATATATATATATATATATATATATATATATATATATATATATATAAGTTATGGTTAGATGTAAGGTTGTATAATAGTTAATCCTATCCAGGAGTTGTA